CAGAGGTGGTTCATTCGCTGCAGAAGCCTGCTGTTTTTAACCTATTGGTTTATAAACTGCAGAGTTCGCGGCATTCCTCTGTCCCAGATATGCCTCCTACACACAGTCATAATAAATCCACGAGCACCGTTATAACGCCTCGTGTGGACAGCATACACACACCTCTCATCCTCTGGGCGTGTACGCGCCTCATGATGAGAGACGGAGTGAAATGCAGCGTGTGGAAACTCCCTCGCAGCCCTTTTGCCTCACAGGCAGCGGCGGCGATGGCGTGGCACGTCACCATGACGACCATTACGGCACATCACAGAGAAGCCTCTCCCCCCAGCAGTTCCATGGGATACAAGAAACACCGTCTTCTTGCCTAAGGTCATCACAACTCTTTTAGGTCAAGAGTGATCACCCTGGCTGGCTTATTCCCCCCTCCTTACAGGTCGGAGGAAGAAGCCACGTCTCATCTCCTCTGTCCTGTGCGCGCGCTGTCCTGCTATGTGGCGCGCACGGCGGCCTGGCGCCGTTCTCAGCGCCTGTTTGTGCACTATAGAGAGTGCTCGATCGGGCAACCTCTGTCTGCACAACGGCTGTCACACTGGCTGTGTGAGGCTGTGTCACAGGCATATGTCTCCTCTGGGGTGGAGCCCCCGGAGAGTATCAAGGCGCACTCCACCAGAGGACTTCCTCCTCCACGGCATTGCACGGAGGAATGTCAGTGGAAGATATTTGCACGGCTGCATCTTGGTCTTCCCCCTGTTCATTTATTCAATTTTATTTGAGGGAGGTCTCCCATTCCTCTCTGACGCACCCTGTACTGGGTGTCCTGTCGGAGTGAGGGACGTCAGGGATCCAGCGGTGCGCCTCTCTCCTGCCTCTCGGCACGCGGAGAGCGGCCCTTTTCCCCTCGTATGAGAGGGATGTTCCCTTTACTCTGACACACTTCGTACGGAGTGCCTGGTCAGAGTGAGTGACGTCAGGGATCCAGCTGTGCGCTCTCCTACCTGTCTGACACGGAGAGAGCGGTTGTTCCCCCTCTATGATCGCAGGACAAGGTGGGACCTTCGTCTCTACTTTCTCACAGCGGCCGGTATGTATTGTTCCCAGCCTTCACCCCGTCGGGAAGATCGGCATGTTTTGCTATGTTCCAGGGACGGTGATGCGCCATCACGCATGGCACAACAGGCAGGGGGGTGTTATTGAGCAGGTGTGTCTGTGCTTCTAGTGCCGGGCGGACCCAGTGGGGCGCAGACTACATCATGCTTCGCCCTTAACCCAATAGCGATAGCCTTAGAGGGCGAAGCCATATACGAAATAGAACTGAGGTTACCTACTGTAACCCAGCTTCTATGAGTAAATGGCGCAGCCCTCTAAGCGCTGGGCCCCACTGGCTCTACGAATAGCTGAAGAAAAGTTATTTTGTATGGGAGCAGATTGCCGGGCCTCCTTCCTATTTATACCGGAAGGAAGCCCGAGGGTGGGGCCCACCTAGCGGGTGGGCGTGGACTACAAGTGTTTCAGTGCTGTGCGGGGGCGCAGAGGGATAACCCAATAGCGATAGCCTTAGAGGGCTGCGCCATTTACTCATAGAAGCTGGGTTACAGTAGGTAACCTCAGACTCTCTGTGTACACACACACACACAGCGCCGCAGACTCTCTGTGTACACACACACACAGCACCGCAGACTCTCTGTGTATACACACACAGCGCCGCAGACTCTCTGTGTACACACACACAGCGCCGCAGACTCTGTGTACACACAGCGCCGCAGACTTTCTGTGTACACATACACAGCGCCGCAGACTTTCTGTGTACACACACACAGCGCCGCAGACTTTCTGTGTACACACACACACACAGCGCCGCAGACT